TGTGAGGGGTTGTGTTTCATAACTTTAAAGTCACGATTTTATGTGGCTTTCGTGAACTTAATGACAATTTCCGTAGGATACATAGTAAATAAGACGCCTCCCTCTCAACTTATCTTAAACTTCTGAATCCGACGGCAGGAAAGCTTTAGGCCTTAAACCTTAACCCTGTAAATTCTAAATCCCGTGACCCTAACGTCTACACCCTACCTATTAAACTACCTTAGCTTACGTATTTTCAGGTTCAGATTCTTTCTCTTGTAGAATCTATACGGATCCGACGAACAAGTAGGGTTTTTGATAGTCCAAGGTAGACCTACGAATGCAAACCAGGAAGTCCGTAAACCAACTTTTGAGCCGGTAAATCCTCAAGCCGAAGCCGTTGATCCTCGTCGCTCAAACCTTAAATCCTTGAGACATAAGCCCTAAAGCCCCGAAACCCTCCCCTTTAAAGTGGACCCTATCCAGAACCCCAAAAGTACCTCTTTAAGGTAAAGTCGAGGGGAAATCCGGCACTAATCATCCCTAATCTCCCTATTCCCTAAACCCCCAAACCCCCTAAGCCCTAAACCCTTTAAGCCCTAGACCCTAATCCCTAAAACCCTAAACCCCCAATCCCCTGCGCCCCGCAACCCCAAACCCCTAAACCCTAACCCCTACCCATAGGCACAATAGCTCTTTTCTGTGGTTCATGTCTAGGATCCTATAAGGTAACCCCAAAAAGGAAATACTTTGGAGCCTGTGGGTAGACCCTTCGAACCAAGAAGCAAGACACCTGAGAACGCCCGCAGAAGAACCGGAGCCTTGAAACCCTGAGTGCGTCTTTGGAGGGCGTTTAAGGGTTTAGGGTTTAAGGTTTGGGAAAGTTTGGGGTTAAGGGTTTAAGGATTAAGGTTTAGGCTCTAGGGTTTAAGGTTTAAGGTTTAGGGTGTAGGGTTAGGCTTTGGGATTTAGGGCTTTATGGGTTTAGGAGTTTGGGGTTTAGGGCTTAGGGGGTTTAGGGTTAGGCTTTGGGATTTAGGGGTGCCTGCAGGGCTGACGTTGACCATAATAACAGAAAGCATGGAGATCTCTTTGGCAGGAGCCCGATGGATGTTGGAAAAGCCTGTATCTAGATCCGTTTTAACTTAAACACTACCCTAAGCTCCAAGCCCTAAACTCCACTTCCTAAATTGTTTCCCTTAAACTCTAAAAACTCTAAACCCCAAATCTTATAAACTCTAAACCCATTATTTTTTCCTTAAGCTCTAAGCTCTGACGATCTCTTAACAAGGAGCCCTATGCCTTCCTCGTACACGCGCTTGTCGGCTACCTCGACGAGCCCGGGACGCCCCGGGCGGCGCCTGCGGGCAAAGGCGGCAACTGGATCACGCAGGCCAAGACTGGGCTTGGGTCTAGAGGGTCTATGGGGTGTCTAGGGTACTACAGGGTTGAGGGTGTAGGGCCTATAGGGCTTACGGTTTAATTAGGGTTTCTAGTTTCTAGGGTTCTGGGGAGCAGGGTTTGGGTCGAAAGGTCTAGGGTAGAGAGCTTGTGCTGAGCTTGCGGGGTTTTTTGGGGGTCCTGGGGTTGGGTTCTCGGGCGCTTTAGCGCTTCAGGGTGTAGCTTTCCCATCATGCTTTCCAGGCGAGTTGGGGTGCTAGGAATGGAAGTAATGGTTCACATGAGGCAGTCAAGAAATAGCAGAATTAGTCTACTTAGCTTTTCCGTGGGATAATATACCCTATAGCCTATATTCCCTTTAATTAGAACTCGAAGTTTGTTCCTCTGGGGCCTATGAGCTCGGCAAGTATAGGGTTTCTACGAGGGTTTCTTGGGGTGCGCCCGTGTTTTGGTGAGAGAAGCCCGTTTCCTGTGTTTGCGTCTTTTTTTGGCAGAGGAAGGGGGTGATGGGCATGCAGTCACATTGAGCTGGGGGGGTTTAGGGTTTGAAGAGGCAGCTGCAGGTTGCAGACGCTTCCTTTGCCATGACTGTTCTTTGTTGGAGCATGATGATGTTCTGATCTGCCTCAGGGTTGCATTCGGGTGCTAGCTCGACCCTAAACGCTAAACCGTGAACCAGTGAACCGGTCGGCCGACGTTGCAGACTTTGAGGTTGAGGGCTCGAGGCGTAGATGCTGACAACCCCTGAACGGGCGACGAGGTGAAGTAGAGCTATAAAGCAGGGTCCAATAGGCAGAAATCTGCTTGTAAGGAAAAACATAAAACACGGTCCAAAAGGCAGAAAGCACGAGAACACTCAAAGAAAACGCCACAGCACCTCACAGCTTCCTCTCTTCTCCCTCTCTTCGAGTGCAGTGCAAGTCTCTCGTTCCGAGGCTTTCGGCACGCTTACTCAGAGGGTGAAGCCAGCCAGGCATGGTCCAACACTATTGGTTTTGTCTAGCGCACAGGGTTTAGGGCGCGGGAATGATTGCGTCACTGACAGGAAGGGGCTCTTGCAAAGAAACACGGGTTCCTCACGTATTTCTTGCCCAAGAACTCACCGCCCCATGCAGAGTCAAATTAGTTTGGGTCCTGCAATATTCTCCTCACAGTTTGACTCTTGAGAAAGTCGGGTCATTCTCTTGGGTCTTGCCAAATAACCGTTTTCATGCTACTCTGCTCATCCTCTCGCCGGCTACTAGGGTCATCAAGACTGCATAGCCAGAGATCTCCAAAACACCTGACTTCAGTAGTATCTAGTTTCATTTGGAGGGAGTCGTATGATGGTTGAGGGTAATTCAGGTGGCAGGTGTAGTCGGCTGGTTCTCTGGCTAAAGATCTCAAGTTGCCGCGCAGGTCCTTGCAAAACCACGGTGCAGCCGAGTTACCCGGCAACTGGGTGACAGCGGCGTTCGACGCGTTGAGTGGGCGGACGGCCCCTTGACTTGAAAGACGAGCCACAGTTTCTAAATCTTCGACCCTGAACCCTACACCCTAAACCC